CAGGCCGGCAGGCAGGCAGGCAGGCGCTCACCAAAGGCTGGGAGAGCAGGCGCTCACCGGGCGAGCAGGGCCGGCGCTCGACGGGCGGCGGCCGAGTAGGCGCACGACAGCGGCGACGTCGGGGCCGCAACACCGGCTGCAGAGCAGGGCCGAAGCAGCTGCAGGGCGGGGCCGCTTCAGCGGCAGTAGCAGGGTGGGGCCGCGTCAGCGGCAGGTCGGGGCCGTGGCAGCTGCAGGGCGGGGCCGCATCAGCGGCAGGTCGGGGCCGTGGCAGCTGCAGGGCGGGGCCGCATCAGCGGCAGGTCGGGGCCGAGGCAGAGGGCCGCGCGCGGCTCGGCGCGGGCTGCGCTGACAGCACGCTGAGCTGCTGCAGGCCGCGCACGGCCGCGCTAGGCAGTAGCGGGCCGCGCGCGGCTCGGCGCGGGCTGCTGCGGGCCGCGCGCGGGCCGCGCGAGGCAGTAGCAGGCCGCGCGCGGCTCGGCGCGGGCTGCTGCGGGCCGCGCGCGGGCCTCGCGAGGCCGTAGCAGGCCGCGCGCGGCTCGACGCGGGCTGCGTGGGCTCGGCGCGGGCTGCGCGCGGCAGCAGCGGGCTGCGCGCGGCTCGGTGCGGGCTGCGCGCGGCTGCAGCGGGCTGCGCGCGGCTCGGTGCGGGCTGCGCGCGGCTGCAGCGGGCTGCGCGCGGCTCGGCGCGGGCTGCGTGGGCTCGGTGCGGGCTGCGCGCGGCTCGGTGCGGGCAGCGCGCGGCAGCAGCGGGCTGCGCGCGGCTCGGTGCGGGCAGCGCGCGGCAGCAAGGGGCCTAACGGTCTGCAGGGGCTGTTCGCGGGCCTGAAGGGCGTGTAGGGGCGGCGCGCGGGCCTTACGGGCCTCTAGGGGCAGCGCGCTGGCCTAGGGCAGCAGGAGGCAGCGCTAGGGCTGCTGGACGGCGCGCATAGTGCAGCACGTCACAAGGCAAGGCAAGGCAGGCAGGTACGTGGGGTAGCGCGGTAACCGCAGCGGTAGGTGGGCCCGAAAAAAAAGACGGTCCTACGGACCTTAGTGCTCTGAAACCATGTTAGAATCTAGCAGCAGGAATGAATGAACTATCAGGATGCAGGAGTACAAGTAGTAAACCCTAATTGGGTTGTACCCCATATGGGCTACCCCACTACAGCCTAGACAATATGCAGCACATATAGTTTGACAAATCCTAGTTAGGCGGGGACGTTGGGTGAAGGCGGTTCGGAAAGAGTTGCGATTGGAGCGGGGGCGACTCGGGCGACGAATTAGGTCGAACCGGGTTGTCGCGTGGCCGTCGGGGTGTACTCGCTAAAGTGCAAGTATAGCAAGGGATTCCAAATTCTTTACAATGGGCACGAGAAATGCATACCGATTGATTGTTTTTTTTGCATTATACAACGTACAACGCAGAAACACTACCGATTGATTGCTTCGTGTACACGTTTGGATTCCGAATCTGTCCTCAGTGAAGCCAACCGAAACGTAACCTCCACGAACTCGTAAGTTGACACTCCGCGATCTTGCTGCTGACGTTGGTTTGCGTTGCGTCTCGCTCACCCTTCCGTCAATGCACACAAATGGCAAATGCAATTGGTCGGATCAATTGCTAAAGGTTAAAGCGGCGGTATACATTTGGCAGGGCCTGTGCCAAAAGTTTATAAAAGGTACCTGGTGGTAACCGAATTACAGGGTCACTCGACTTCTCTCGAGAGGGTCCGTGTCTTTCCAACCCCCCAGAGCAGACTCTCACGTCAAAAGTTTATGGTATGCCAAAAGTATACTGAAGCGGCTGCCTCCTCCCCACTAGCCCCACCCTATTAGCTCAGCGTCGACTAGCGTAACTACCGTGCGTGCGCAAAAGCCAACGCAATCCGTAATTACCGAGGGTAGCGCATCTCTCTGAGCGGTCATTTAGCGACCATACGACCGTCTATATTGCTTCGCTGCAATGACATTCGCCGGCCCAGCTGTGAAAGGCTAGAAATCGACTAGAGTTACCCTCGCGGCGACGCCTCTCGTGGAATCGCCGCCCTCGCAAACCCCAGCACGCGGCCACTTGAAAGCCGAGGAAATTAGCCACACCGCACCGTCCATAGCTGATGGCGCCGGATCGGCCCCGCAGTTTATCTTGAACACGCGTGGCAATGAACGCCGCGAGATAGCTTCGCTCTTACGCTCACGGGAGGCGCCTCATAGCCCAGTCACTCAGATTCGGCTGACGCAGGTTGAGTAGGCGCGACGGTGTGCATTTTTTTCCAACCTCAACTTACCCCCGATTTGCTGCCCTGGCCGCCGCGATTCCACTTCCCGCCGCTCGATTCCACTTCCCGCCGCTCCGTGAGCCCCTTTCCGCCGCCCAACTCCCTTTCCCGCCGCTCGATTCCAAGTTCCGCCGCCCCTTTGACCTTCCCGCCGCCCAAATTCCCTTTCCCGCCGCCCGACTCCCCTACCCGTCGCCCCATTCCCGTGTCTGCCGCCCGATTCCCCTTTCCCGCCCCCCAATGCCCTTTCCCTCCGCCCGATTCCCCTTTCCGCCGCCCCTTTGACCTTCCCGCCACCCATTCCCCTACCCGCCGCCCGAAGAACCCGTTCTTTCCGCCCATTTTCCCCTTCCCGCCTCTCATTCAACCATTCCCGCCTCCCATTCTCCCCTTCCCGCCTCCCATTCTCCCCTTCCTACCTCCCTTCCCTCCCTTCTCCCCCTTCCCTCCCGTCCCTCCCGTCCCTCCCTTCCCTCCCTTCCCTCCCTTCTCTCCCTTCCCTCCCTTTCCTCCCTTTCCTCTCTTCTCTCCCCCTCCCTTCTCACCCTTCCCTCCCGTTCCTCCTCTCCCTGCTATCACGTCTCTCCTTTCCCTCCCTTCTCTCCCGTCCCTCGCTTCCCTCCCCCCCTACCTTCTCTCCCTATGCTCCTTTCCCTCTCATCCTTTTTTGCAAACTCCTGTCTCTCCCTTCCCTTCCTTCTCTTCTCGTTCCGCCTCTTATTCTCCCATCCCGCCTTCCCTTCTTCTCGTCCCGCCTCTTATTCTCCCATCCCGCCTTCCCCATTTCCCCTTCACGCCTCCCATCACCTCTCCCTGCCTTCCCATCTCACCTTCACGCCTCCCATCACCTCCATTCTCATTCAGCCCCATCTCATGTCACCATGCTTGCATTTACCCTCCGTATCCTGGCTCTCCCTAAGCTCCCCTCCATCCGCCTTCCAACCCATTGCCACCCCTCCGTCCCATTTTGCCTCCTCCATCCCCCACCTCACCCACCTACTCCCTCCTCATCTCCCCTCCCCATACCACCTCCTGCCCCTATCAGGCACCCCTTGCTCACCTCCCCTCCCCCTACCAGGGGCATTCTTCTCCCTTCTCTCCCCTACCCCTTCTTTCACCCTCCCCTACAAAGGGCGCTCTGCTCACCATCTGTCCCTCCAGGTCTCCCACACTCATATTCTCCCATATTTCATCCCCCACACTCCCGTGTTTTTTCTTAGTTGAAACTGAGCTCTACATTCCTGCGTTTACTCCTGATACTGCCCACTTTTCCCTCCACTACATCCCACACTAGTTTCATGCTCATCTCATACAGGACTCACATTGCGTTCCCTTGCTCAATCTCTGTGCTTGTGTTGCAGGTGTGGTGCCTTCCTGAATGAACCTCCTACGCCACACATGGCACATAAGAACCAGCAACTTGGGCATGGATAGGGCAGCGATGGTAACAAAGCAGCTTGAAGCCTCTTGGTAGCAGCATGTACAGTGTTTTTTATCAACTGGTTATTGACCACGGTGTTCTGTAACATCATTACAGGTTGGAGGATAACTTTACCAAAATTTACAGCATGTTCCCTACCATAACAAACTATGTAATCAAAGCAGTACGGTTACAAGTAAAAGCACAGAGGCAATCCATGCACACTAAGCAATGTACGATGGGTCAAGTGTGCAGCCAGCTTAGGCGACGCAGGAAATGTGATGATGCTGGCAGGCGATGGGGAGGATAGGCGAGCGAGGATAGGTTCACGCAGCAGGTCGCCTTTCCTGGACACCACAAGCTTTTGGTCCCTGCCAGGCGGACCAGCCATTGAAGGAGGCAGAGAGGGTATGAGGCAGAGATGGGGTGAGGAAGAGATGGGGTGAGGAAGAGATGGGGTGAGGAAGAGATGGGGTGAGGAAGAGATGGGGTGAGGAAGAGATGGGGTGAGGCAGAGATGGGGTGAGGAAGAGATGGGGTGAGGCAGAGATGGGGTGAGGAAGAGATGGGGTGAGGCAGAGATGGGGTGAGGCAGAGATGGGGTGAGGCAGAGATGGGGTGAGGCAGAGAGGGTATGAGGCAGAGAGGGTATGAGGCAGAGAGGGTATGAGGCAGAGAGGGTATGAGGCAGAGAGGGTATGAGGCAGAGAGGGTATGAGGCAGAGAGGGTATGAGGCAGAGAGGGTATGAGGCAGAGAGGGTATGAGGCAGAGAGGGTATGAGGCAGAGAGGGTAACGCTGGAGTAGCAGATGGTGAAGCAGTGGGGGAAAGGTGTGGAAGCAGTGGCGGAAAGGTGTGGAAGCAGTGGGGGAAAGGTGTGGAAGCAGTGGGGGAAAGGTGTGGAAGCAGTGGGGGAAAGGTGTGGAAGCAGTGGGGGAAAGGTGTGGAAGCAGTGGGGGAAAGGTGTGGGAGCAGTGGGGGAAAGGTGTGGAAGCAGTGCGGGAAAGGTGTGGAAGCAGTGGGGGAAAGGTGTGGAAGCAGTGGGGGAAAGGAGGGGAAGCAGTAACACAGGACTACGACACTAGAAGCAAATAGTCGGTATGCTCACTGCCATGTCAGCATGCATGCCGGCGACCCCTGACATGGCAGCAGCGGTGGTGGAAGGGCCGGTAGCGGCAGCGGCGAGGGTGAGCGAGTGACTGAGGAGGCCCATGGGGCCAGAACGGGCAGTAGGGTGCGGCACGAGGTGGGTTGCCCCGTCAGCAAGCTATGATTGGCCGTTGATGAGAGCCATTGTAAGGCCAACAGCCAGCGCTATGGTG